CAAGAAGGGCCAAGGAAGATGAATCTGTGAAAAAGCCCACTGTTGACGGTAGTTACCGACCATTATAAACATCAATATAACCCGAAATAATGCATGAAAATGATCACCAACATAGACTTTGGGGTTTAATTTGATAATTTTCACGAGTTTTGGTGAATCTGTGTTTTCAGCAAGGTTTATCTAGAAGACCGTCAAGGGGATCTAAACGTCAAAGGAAAAATCAGAATTCTACCATGAAACCAACTCTAGAAGGTTCCAAAGGACTCTAGAAGCCACGTCACCAAAGTAGAGGACGAGACGGTGATAGGTGGGGCCACCCCAGCCCCACAGGGGCCCACCTGTCAGTCTCGTCACTATGTTGGTTTTCCTCCGCCTCCTAGGATGCATCTAAGTCGTTGCTTAAGTCAGTTTGATCTAAGGGCTCATGTTGTATCCTCTAGGCTATATATACCAGCCCTACCCCCTCCAGATCATCAGGTCATAAGTTAGGGCTAGATAGAAAACTAGGATTTCTAGAGATTAGAGCTCTAGTTCTTTAAGTTTCTAGTATAGATTAGCTAGCAAGGTTCAAGAAGAGTGTGGGCTATTGCTCAGGATTCTGGATCTATCGTCTGGAGACTGGCATAACCATTGTATCTCTATATTTATGACTTTGTGCTACTTTAATATCATTATGTTGGTATTTATTATGTTCCTAGTTTGCTCTAGTTGTATGCTTGATATAGTTATGATTAATGACGAGTTTATGCATATGTTCGCAAAACGCTTAGCTCAATACATACGTGAGTTAAGTGGCCGACACTATGTAAGCATGGTGCTAAGATATTGTTTGCCTGCGGATGCCCTCTGCACTTTAGGTCATGTGGTAGATCCCGGATGGGACACTCCCGTTGAGTCCTTTGTAGTCTACTCCCCATTTGTAGAGCACGTAGAACGTGATTGTGAAGGTAGAGAAGCTCTGTTCTTGATCTTCCTTACTAATGTTCCATATGCGTAGATCTAAAGTTAGTTATACTATAGATGAGAGTGTATATATTAGGGTGTATAAAAGACTTAGTAGATAAGTAATGACTTAGGAATCGTTTGCTCTTAATGAATCTCCTGCTTAGCTATACTACATTTATGAGTCTCTAATTCTATCTTTGGAATACCACTATTACCTTACACGTATCATTTATTTACCCTTTGACTTACCCCTGCAATAGCATGAGAGTGATTATTATCATAAGTATACATATTTGTCAATATCTCTATGCCAACACCACTCCATAAGCTCCTCCCTGTGGTAAAAATATAAATAACGATACCTAGTATACTCCCGGGTGAAATGCTACAATGGTATATTATCTGTGCGCTTGCGGATACTTTAATATATAGTCCCTCCGTGCTAAAAAAAGTCGTTTTGGACAAGGTTTGGGTCAGACATTGGGAATATAAATCATGAATAACTTTTAAGTTGTTGAGTTTGAAAATGTGAAAACCATACGAATAGATTTGTCTTGAAAAATACATTCATAAAAATATACATATATCACTTTTTGATAAATATTTTTTATAAAAATAAGAAGTCAAAGTTATACTTTAGAGACGATGTCGCTGTCCAAAACAACTTTATTTTTGAGTATAGAGGGAGTATACATTTTTCTCTAAAGTTTATAAGTGTCATTAATAATTACCAACCATGCATTTCTGACATTATGCTAGGGATGACAACCTAGTAACAAGTGATGCTAAGAAATGCTAACAAGGGACATGAAAATCAAGATATGCAGTTGAAGAATGCAACACGTGCAACGGTCGTGAGAGGTAATTTTGGAATAAAATCATTTTATTCCAAAATTGGGGGGCATGTGTTGACATCAAAATTTGGTTTAGGATGGGAGTTCCCAGAAGTCAAGATTCGTCGAGGAAAGCCGAAATATTCAACCAAATTGGCTAACCGAGTTATCAATGGAATCAACTAACAAGGTGACGTCATCGCCTTGAGAGAATGGGCCCTATCGACAGAATCAACAAGGCATAAAGCAAGAAGACGCGTCAGGCTCCATAGAAGAGAAAGATTGGAGTCCAAGTCATCTTAAATTAGAAAGTTTTGATTTTCTTTTCCAAGTTTGTAACCGGTCTTATTCGACCATTCCTCATAGTCAAGCCTCGGGTATAAATATTAAACCCCGGCTATTGTAATAGACATCTCTCATCGATCAACCAAACAAGTACCTTTACTTTTCGGCATACGCCACCCCTTAGGAATAGAAGTAGAGTAGATTTCGATGAGTTCTTTGGGCAAGTAGGGCTGCATCGGACGACCTAACCTCCGGCTTGTTTGTGAGTATCCATCACGACTTGTATTGTTACTTGCAAGGCTGCAACAGACGACTGATCTTTTGCAAGTCATGATATAAGTTAGTTATCGATCCATATTGTTGTTTGTAAGGCTGCAACAGATGACTGATCTCTTACAAATCACGATATAGATTAGTTATCGATTCATATCAACCTTTACACGGCTGCAACAGAAGACTGATCTCTTGTAAACGTTGGTATTAATCAATATTATCGATGTTGTGTTAAATAGTTTACTGTTTAATATAATATCACCAATTGCCTGATCTAGTTTGAGATTTATTGGTCTTATTATTCTGATATATCGTCTGCTGGTTATTATCACAGTTGAATTCAATTCTTGACGTTAGATCCTGTTTGATGACTAATCTATCTCGATCTTGATCGTACATGGCGGGTGTTTGAAGTCGTGTTCTATTAAGAGATAGATTCATCGATCGCCAGTATACTGTATGACTCCGCTATCAATGCTGCATCAGTCGACTCGACCTGTTGACAGCGTGTTAGATTGGACATTGTCGGTTAATAGATCTATCTATTAAGAAGAACATGGCGTTAGCCACCCGCTATGTCTCCATCGGCTAAATTGCCGATGGCTTGAGCTTTCACGCGTATAACACTTTCAAGATTTCTTTGCGATGTAAGTAGATCTATCGACTGCTGGTCTCTGATCTAGGATCCTACTGTCAATGCTGCATGAGACGACTTGACCTGTTGATGGTACAATAGATTGAGCCTAATTGTTTGTTAATTTATTTATATCCAACGGATGAGTGATTGTATGCTATACGACAAGATCACTAGAATCGGCTATTTTAGCCGATGACCCATTTTGTTGAGGATGTACTGGTTATTTACAAACTTTTATCTGTTTTCATCTCAGATAAAGCTAGTATGTTTCTCATATGTATGTCTACACACATATCCTTACATCTTTCGCATGTTTTCATGATCATCGGCTAGTTAAGATCTATATATTTGAATGACTGAAAATTGTCGATATGCTTGTTTTGCTTACATTACATCATGAACATGCTAGATATCGACTCTCTAGTCGATAGCCTTATCTCATCGGCTACTTAGCCGCATATTTGGAACTGTCTGGACAAACACCGGCATGTTCCACCTTAAATTACAGATCAATTTTCTCTCCTTATCAATTGCTGGGTCAAATTGACTGGCACGCCCACGGTCACGACCATCTGGTCCAGTGTCCACCTTAAGCCCGGAGAGAGCTTGGAATCTGCTCCACGAGGTTTCTCTCGGCTTGCTTCGTGTGTCGACGATGGAGAACGATCGGTCACTTTTCGCCGTCCACAAAAATTAAGGGCACTATTAGCACCCGGACGTCCGGATAGACGTCCGCGGCTGCAGTCCATTTTCGCGTGTCCACATGTGGGCCCACGCCGCCTGGATGTCGCTCGACTAGGCCTTCATCACCCGCGTCCATGCGGGGCCCGCTCGTGCCCCTACTGCTTCCCATGCGCATCTCATGTGCAACACCCAATCAACTTTTGAAACATCTAGAAGCAACACTTGGAATATACAAAAAAGACAGATGAAACACTCACCTTTTGAAATATCTAGAAGCCACACTTGGAACATACAAAAAAGATAGATGAAACACTTGAAACATGCGTCTGAAACACCTAAAAACACTTGAAAAACATTGCAAACATACGCAACGTCCAGATAAAATACTTGCAACATATGTGTTGAAACATATGCAATATCCAGATAAACAAACTTGCAACATATGTCTGGAAAAACAGACGAAACACAGACAGATGCTTGCAACATACGTGTACAACCATCGCAACATATGTAACATCCCGATCTACTTTTACAATATCCGTATAAAATACTTGCAACATACCTCTAAAACATTTGAAATGTACGTTTGAAACATGCATCATATCCTGATGCGGCCTCCTCCGCCGTTTGCATCGGTGTGCCGCGGCTGTAACAGGAGGCGAGGCCGGAGGAGCAGGAGCAGGAGCAGCATGGGGTGACCATCGACGGTGAAGCAGAGCAGAGTAGAGAGCGGGCAGGCGGGCGGCACGGTGGAGGCGCCCACGGCGGTGGGGAACGCCACGACTCGATGCGAGATGGGGAAATGTCGCGCTGTATTTTTTTTATTAGTGAAGGAGGAGGCCTGTTGGACCGGTCCGTAGGCCTAGAAAGAAGCATCCGAGGGACGTGCTTACCAAAATATTTCCATAAAATTAAACCTATTTGTAAGCTCGCGAATAACCTGTCTTGTAAACTTAAGCCTTTTGATGGATTGGCAGATCGACAACCCGTTTTGCATTCCCAATCAGGTTTGCTTTGCTTCACCAACAGAAAGAATATATTCTTGCCTTGTAGCAGATCGATCGTATTTCCATGCCCTCAAGCTGGCTTTTACCTTTATATATGCCATGGCAGAATCTGTTCCTAACTTCCTATATACGTCGCGGGGCAACCGATCACCGAACGCACATATTCTGAAATTCCAATTTCCTCTTTTGCATCACGTTATATGCCATGCTTCCTTTGGGTTGGCAATTTGCATCGGCCGGGTGCATGGTGTGAGTCGATTATTGCGCTCGCGAGACAGTGACAACCGGACGAATTCAAACTAGAGGAGAAGAAAGAAGAGAGCTGCAGGTGGAAGCATGGCAGAAGCGATCATCGGTCCCCTGGTGGTGAAGCTGCAGGAGCTCGCCGTCAGCGAGGCGCGGGCGCTGGTGGCGGTGAACGACGACATCCGGAGCCTCCGGGACAAGCTCATGTGGATGCAGGCCTTCCTGCGTGACGCCGACCCGCGGCGCCGCATCGTCCCGGACGAGGCCAGCCGGGTGTGGCTGCACCAGACGCGCTACGCCGCCTTCGACGCCGAGGACGCCGTCCACCAGTATTTCCTCCTCGTCGACCTATCCAGGTATATTTTGCACACATATATATACATCCTGAGAAAGATCGGACCAGTTGTTTCAAAAAAAGAAGAAGAACAAGAACAAGAAGAAGATCAGACCAGCTTCACCATTTTTCTGCGTTGGAATTTTGTTAAATCCTTATTTTCCGCATAAATAGTTGTTTCAGTAGTAGCACGTGTACTGAAAACCACGGCCTACATTTAGAAAGTGCACGGAAACCAATGAACTTCCGATCTTGAATATATACGAAACATATGTACTCTCTCCGTCCATTAAAAAAAATGCAATTTCCATTTTTCAAGGAATGAAACGATTTAAAGTTTAATCAAAGTTATATAAAAAATACTAACATTTATAATAAAAAATAAGTACCACTAAATTAATTAGGGAAGAAAGCAATCCTGAGTACAACGAAGCTGTCAAAAATGGAGTTCGAAATGATTACCAGCAAGACATTTTTGACACCACACAGGGGCTACCACTAGCAATTGTTCTTCTTTCAGGCCTTCTACGAACAAAGGAGTATCCAGTCGAGTGGAAAGCTGTATTTGAGCATCTTAAATCCAAGCAATCAAAGCGGCTTGACAGCATACTGTCCCTGTGCTTTGATGATCTTCCATATGACATAAAATCTTGCGTCCTCTACTTTGCTGCATTGCCAACAAACATGCTGATTGAAGCACAAGATTTGGTGTGCATGTGGATGGCAGAGGGCTTCCTGAGGCCAAAGGAAGGGTTGACAATGGAGAAGGTTGGTTACCGTTACTTGAAGGAGTTGATTGCAAGGCATTTAATCAACCTAGAGCCTATGGATGAAAATACTCCCGAGGAGGAGCTTGTGACCATCCAAAGCGAAGTCCATGCATTTCTTCAGATTGAGGCACAAGAGGTAAATTTTGTGGAGATCCACAACAGTGATGATATCCCGCCTCTGTCAGCTGCTCGCCGCCTCAGCTTGCAAAATCGCATGGAGAAGTATGCTGCATTAGCCAACCCTATGCCGAAGCTTCGATCCATCTTGTCTAATTTTGAGAAGGAAGAAACAAGCAAGGAATATGATGTCGCCGATGAAGATCACGAAGCCAAAGTGCAACAGTCTCCAATCTGCCTACATTGCTCACCACATGGAACCACAACCAAGTGCAAGGAGGGCGATGCCAAATCTTATCTGCGGCAACTTCTGCAAACATACAAGTTCCTACGTGTGATTAACCTGCAAGGCCTTGAAGTTGGTGACAAGTTGCCAAATGAAATTGGTGATGTTGTGCACCTGCAGTACCTTGCTGTGACATCCTGTTCTTTGAAAGAGATACCACCATCAGTTGGAAGGCTCTCTAGTCTTCAGACACTAGATGTCCGAGATACAGAAGTTAAGGAGCTACCGGTGCCATTCTGGGAGATTGGAACCCTAAGGCATGTGTTTGGCCATCGCCTCATCTTGCCAAAACGGGTTGGTGAGTTGAAGAACCTACAGACCCTTGATACTGTGAAACCTGATGATAAGTATGGTTGGGATAGAAATACCCTTTCAAAAATGATCCAGCTCCGTTCCTTGTTCATTTGGGAACTCTCCAAAGGTCATGAGAAGGGGCTAGTTGCTGCTCTGAAAAAACTCAAGTACCTTGTCACACTGACCATACATGGTGACAGTATTCCATCGGCTGTTTTCTCTACTAAAACCTCTCTTCGACGACTTGAGGTGATGGAATTGGATGGAATGCTTATTGACATGCCATGTGTAGAGGACATGGACATCAAATCATGCTTGCCCAATCTACTTCTTTTGTCATTAGAGAACACAATGGTCTCACAGGACTTCATCAACAAGTTGGCTGAGTTGCCCTTCCTTGCTAGTCTCACTCTGGATGGTGGATCATACAAGGATGAGCAGCTTGTATTCTCTGCTGGTGGATTTCATAGTTTGAGGAGGTTGACGGTTGACTTAGAAGAATTGAAGAAATTGGAAATACATGAATCAGCACTGCCCAAGCTTGCAGATTTGGATATTTTGATCCACTCTAATGATCTGAATATTGTGATACTGGGTAAGAACGACGTCGTTGAGAAGCTCCTTCATGAGGATAAAATACTCTCCAAGAAAATCCAACGGACTACGAGGAGTGAACGAACTGCCCGAAGGATCGGAGTTGAATGAATTGGTGCTCACTAGCTGCTACCGGTAGGTACTTTTAAGTATGTCAAGCCTGGCAATGTAACAGTGTGTGCGCACAATTTAAGATTGAAACATATGTACGTATTCTGTATTATATTGTTGTAACTTTTCAGTCTCATGGTGTTCACTATGTACATAATGGTGTGACAAAAACTCGTTAATTGTTCTGTTATCTAAAAAGTAATAAATGAACGCTCGATGTATATATAATAAAAACATTTCAACTACTCCCCTGACCCAGTACGTTCATTTTTTGCAATACACACCCGGTGCCCTTAAAATTTTATGTGATTCTCATCTATATCCATAAACTCCTTGTTAGAGTGAGTATTCCTGTCCTTAAACTTTTAAACTCGTTCACTATAGGTTCACATATGGACCTGGATTTTTACTTTGGACTGGAGTGGACCACTTCAAAATTCAAGGAATTAGATGGATAATTTATATACAAATTAATAGTGTTATTATTATCTTTATAATGAAATATGTGGGTAATTTAGATTCAAATTTAAGCATTCATTTACATTATATTTCATAATAATACAGGTGGATAATATAGGTACAAATCTAGAGGGTTATTTTTTATTATCTTTCATAATGATAGATGAGGGTAATTTAGATAGAAAATTTAGGAGTATTTTAAATTATGTTTTATAATGTCAAACGTGGATAATTTAGATGTGAATTAAGGGGTTACTTTCATTATTTTTCATAATGGTAGAAGGTCGGCAATTTTTGTACTCCCTCCATATTGGTAATTCAAGTCGTTTTGGACAAGACTTGGGTCAAATCTTGGGAATATAAATCATGAATAACTTTTAATTTGTTGAGTTTAGAAATATGAAAACCATATGAATAGATTTGTCTTGAAAAGTACTTTCATAAAAATATACATATATCACTTTTCAATAAACATTTTTATAAAAATAAGAAGTCAAAGTTATGCTTTGGAGACAATATCGCTGTCCAAACGACTTAAATTACCAATATGGAGGGAGTATAAATTATAGTATATCATACATTAACTACTGTTAATAATGATGATTACAGCAGGGGAGTATCGGGGGCAAGCCTTCTGCCCAGCTAAGTGTGCTCGGAAAAAAATAGTAGTTACCTATTCATGGGGAAATGGTTGTCGCTCACATCGCGTTTGGCCTTCTCGATTGTAATAATCCAACGTGTGTAACGTTTCAATCCAAGAACCAGTGGCGGATCCAGGATTTTAAACATGGAGATGGAGGTATGGACCTAAGTGACGTAATTCACTAATGATATAATATATATGACGAGAGAACGACAATAAAATAGTTAGGTATACGAATTTAAGGATACAATTCGTCAACTTTCATACAAAGATAGTCATTCCCAAGGTCTTGATAAACATATTAGTTTCTTGGTGATCCCGTGTGGAAAAATAAATCTTTTGTGCTTTATTGAGTAGTCCAAAAAAAGCTAAATCATTTTTCCTCTTAATGCCATGACCATTCTAAAAAATAAAATTATTTATTTATTGAGTAAAGTAGAAATGATTCTTTTCAAAATTTACTTATATTAAACAAGGTCAAGATTAAAACTTCACGAGAAGAACAATAACGAATGTTTGGAAGGAAAAAAGAGTCAACTTTACATATTTATCCTTCATAATTCGTTCTATAATTTTAATCTTGTACTTGTGCTACGTGTGCATTGGTTCATTTTAGGCTTTCAGGATTTAGAAGAAAGAGTGTTAGTATTCTACGGGTTGTTTTCCCTCTTAGACGAGTATTTGAGGTTAAGATATTTTTATCAGAAATGTTGGTGTCAGGGGTGTCCGACCTGAAGCCCCCGTTGCCGTGGGCCGCGATGGTAGGAACGGCCCAACTATCTCGTATGCCTCCTCTGGTCGTCTGTTTGATAAAAAAACGTTTGGCTGTCTTCTTCACTCACGGGTCTCCAATAGCATCGTTCCCAATCTGCACTCGTCGCCAAATTCTAATTCCGCACTCCACCGTAACCATGCTCCTGCGGCACTCGACCGCGGCTGGCCGGCCGCCATCCTCCATCTCCACCTCACCTGAGCGCCGCTGGCTGCCTTCCTCCCTCTCCACCACAGTTCACCAACCATCGCACGGTTTCAGTTCATCGCGCCCGCCCGCCCGCTTCTGTCACTCTTCGACGGCACCTCGGGCCAGGAGCGACGACTAATCGGCCTCCACCTCTCTTCCTCTCCACAGAGCTTGGTCTCCATCCTCCCTCAGCGATGGCATCCAGTGATGCGGACGAGATCGGGCAGGGGTAGCGCCGCCCGCCTCTGCTGGCGCTGGTGGTGCCGTCGCGCGCCTCATGTCAGTCTCCACCGAGCCAAGGGAACCCACGAAGTGCGGCCCGTGCTGGTGGTGCTCGTGCGCTGCCGCTTGGGGCCGGCTCCCACTTCGAGGCTGGAATGAACTGGCCCTAGCCTCTCCCTCTCCTATGTTGCAAATATATGTTTCAAGTGTTTCAGATGTTATTAGAGGTATGTTGCAAGTATTTTATATGGATGTTTCAAAAGTAGATAAGGATGTTGCATGTGTTTCAAAGGCATGTTGCAAGCATTTCTTCAAAATATTTCGTATATTTCAGATGTATGTTGCAAGCGTTTTTTATCTGGATGTTGCACATGTTTCACACATATGTTGCGTGGGCGTCGTGGGAACAAGCGGCGGGTGCAGCCGGGGTGCGCGCGTGCGGGGCGGGGCAAGGCAGACGGGAACAGGGTACGCGTGCGTGGCGGGGCGAGGCAGACAGGGGATGGACATGCGCGTTCAGCAGGGATACGACGCAGTGGCAGGCACGGGTGGGTGGCCTAGGGCAGCAGCATATATGGGGCATCCGGACGCGCTCATCTGCTTTGGACGTTCGGACGCTAGTAATTCCCTATTTTTATTTGGTATAAAGTGTTCTAGATATTATATACTTAATATTTTTTTCAAAATTTTTGGGGGTATAGCTATACCCCATGCACCTACACTACATCCGCCCCTGCCAAGAGCACGAGAGACGCACATGCCACAGAGGCTAGCGACAACTTGATTCACGGTGTGCTAGCTTTGGGGGCTCCTTCCTAAAGGCTCATTAGAAGGAGCCAGAGTCATTTTGGAGGAGCTATATCCTTTTTCCATTGAAAAACGGCTCCAAACGATTTCTCCTACTAAACCGTTCGGTACGGCTTCTCCGGAGGACCTGGAAAGGAGCACTACCAAATGGGGGGCCTGAATATGCAAACGCTTGGCTCCTGATCAAGTAGCGAACGCACGTTGACACCACGTCAGACGCTAGCTTTGTCCCAATTCCTAGTCTGTGGTTGCCCTAGCCCCGAATGCCAAGCGGCCAATGAAAGGTAAGCTGCCGTGGTGAGATGCTATAATATGCGATGGTTGACTCTTATTCTTTCTGTTGACAACCTATTTCTAACTATCAGTATGCCAATTTGAACTATTTATATTATATCATTTAGCGTATGTGTACTGAATTATGTTACAAATTTTACAATTGTCTACTGAATTAGCAAATAGTTTTATCGAGTTGCATATGAATTTTTTTGTGTGTGGTAATACCCTTTGGTAAAATTCTAAATTCGCCATAAATTAGATAGTATCAAATTAAAAGACATGTTTTTAATTATTGTTGAAGTTTTTAGGATTAAGTCTGAGACTATGTTAGAACGTCTCATTAGTAGTACTCCCTCCGTTCCAAATTATAAGTTGCTTTGAATTTTTTAATACATCTATTTTGCTATGCATTTAGATAAATAATATATCTAGATGCATAGCGAAATGGATGAACCAAAATAGTCAAAGCAATTTATAATTTGGAACGAAGTGAGTAGTAATTAAGAGAGGAGATAAGATGTTGCATGACGTAATATTTTTTGCTTGGATTTTGCACACGTGCGCATCGGGTACGCATAATACTATGGCATGATGATGCTACCCATATCTCTAGCAGATCAAAGGGGGTGTTTGGTTCCAGGGACTATTTTTTAGTCCCTGTCACATCGGATGTTTGGACACTAATTTGGAGTATTAAATATATTTTAATTACAAAACTAATTACATAGATGGAGACTAATTTGCGAGACGAATCTATTAAGCCTAATTAGTGCATGATTTGACAATGTGGTGCTACAGTAAATATACTCTAATGATGGATTAATTAGGCTTAATAGATTCGTCTCGTAAATTAGTCTCCATCTGTGTAATTAGTTTTGTAATTAGAATATATTTAGTACTCCAAATTAGTATCCAAACATCCGATGTGACAGGGACTAAAAATTAGTCCCTGGAACCAGACACCCCCCAAAGGTATTGAAATCGCAGGCTTCTCCATTTCGTTATCCGTTCATTCTGGATAAGGAAAGTTGGTGTATGCTACTGCACGCCGTTATCGTAGACTTGTACTACAATAGTGACATGACGCACAGCCGAGTCGATCGGGCGGCGCCGACATATATATAGTAGCGCCTTGTTTAGATGCCATCCAAATTTCAAGTTTTTTCACTCTCTCTCCATCACATCAATTTTTAGCCGTTTGCATGGAGTATTAAATGTAGATAAAAAAATAACTAATTACACAGTTTAGTTGGAAATCACGAGATGAATCTTTTGAGCCTAGTTGCTCCACGATTGGACAATATTTGCCAAATAAGACGAAAGTGGTACTATTCATCGGGTTCAATTTTTTTGCAAAGTGAACAAGGCCTAGGAGTATACGCGTGTCGAAATTCGCTGACACTGACCCTTCAAAAAAAATTCGCTGACACTGATCAACGAATCGGTACTAAGAAAGCATGGCAGAGAACGCGGCGCTCAACTACGCTGGTACTGTTTCTATAATCTGAACACCACGCCCACAGGCGACAGCATAGCTGGAGCCTGAATGCTGGTGGGCTGGTGGCTGGAGCACTTTGGCTAAGCGAGCTCTCAGAATGCAAACCAGACGAACACCTGGACTCGGTCTATCAT